ACTTATGGCAGTTACGCGTCGACTTCGGCTCAGGTCATGATCTCACAGTTAAGGGGTTCGAAACCCGTGTCAGGCTCTGTGCTGACAGCTGGAACCTGGAGCCTGCTTCAGACTCTATGTCTCCCTCTCTCTCTGCCCCTCCCTCGCTTGCACTCTCTCTGTCTCTGTCTCTGTCTCTCAAAAATAAATAAACATTAAAAAAACTTAAATACAGGGGCGCCTGGGTGGCTCAGTCGGTTAAGCGGCCGACTTCAGCTCAGGTCACGATCTCGCGGTCCGTGAGTTCAAGCCCCGCGTTGGGCTCTGGGCTGATGGCTCAGAGCCTGGAGCCTGCTTCCGATTCTGCATCTCCCTCTCTCTCTGCCCCTCCCCCATTCATGCTCTGTCTCTCTCTGTCTCAAAAATAAATACAACGTTAAAAAAAATTAAAAAAAAAAAACTTAAATACAGATGATATAAAGAAAACGTAAGGTTCCCAGTAATCTTACTTCCTAGAAATAACTCTCCTCAACATTTCAGTGAACCTCTTTCCGTATTTTTTAATACATATGTTGAACATACACACTTTTTTCTCCCACAGAAATGGGGTCTCTGTGTGCTGCACACTCTTCTGCGACCTGCTTCCTCTTTCGGTTTTATTATCATCATTTTGTGATGTCAATTAATAATGATCAACCTCATCTCTTCTGAGGACTGCATAGTCATTCTAGAAAATGCACCACAATTTATTGAACCAACATCCTAGCGAAAGACATGCAGACTGTTTCCAATTTCATGCCATCATAAACAACGCTTTAAAATATCCTCGTATATTTACATTCGCCTATTCATCCTGTTAGCTCTTTAAGACGTAGTATCATGTGCTGCCTCGAGAGAAGTGTGCATTTTACACTCTAATAGATATTGACAAATGCATTTCCAAAAAGAATCCATCAATTTATACCCTGACCAAGAGCATTTCCTTCTACCTCGTCAGCACGGACAGCGTTATTCTTTTTAATCTTTTCCAATCTGATAGGAAGAAAAAAAAATCTTGCTGCTCTTACTTTTATGTCCTCACTATTGAGGTGACTATTTCTAGTTCACCCTGTACACTGTCCATTTATCTTTATGCTGCCCTATTTACCTTTACATATTAAAAATTGGGCGCCTGGGCGGCTCAGTCGGTTAAGCGTCCGACTTCCGCTCAGGTCATGGTCTCACGGTTTGTGAGTTCCAGCCCCGCGTTGGGCTCTGTGCTGACAGCTCAGAGCCTGGAGCCTGCTTCGGATTCTGTGTCTCCCCCTCTCTCTGCCCTCCCTCTGCTCACGTTCTGCCTTTCTCTCTCTAAAATAAATAAAAACATTAAAAAAAAATTTTAAATACATCTATACCAACACTTCACCATATGTGCTATAAACATTTTTAAAAGCAACCTATCGGGGCGCCTGGGTGGCTCAGTCGGTTGAGCGACCGACTTCGGCTCAGGTCATGATCTCGCGGTCCGTGAGTTCGAGCCCCGCGTCGGGCTCTCTGCTGACAGCTCGGAGCCTGGAGCCTGTTTCAGATTCTGTGTCTCCCTCTCTCTCTGACCCTCCCCCGTTCATGCTGTCTCTCCCTGTCTCAAAAATAAATAAACATCAAAAAAAAATTTTTTTTAAATAAAAATAAAAGCAATCTATCATTCGCCCTTTTAGTTTTTTTATCATCAAATTTTTTTAAAACTTCACATGGTCTAACTTGTCAAATACTTCCTTTGCTACTTCCGGGTATAGTAAAATGACTCCCTCCCCCCATAACTAAAGATTACTGTTACATTGTTTTCTGAGTTTTCTTCTGGCATATTAAGTTTTATTTCCTATATTTAAATATCTACTCTAACTCAACTGTATAGTTGGTTATCATGTGAGGTAAGGGTTTGTCTTTACTTCCCAAATGGGTTCTCCCAACCCAGCTTAATAACCTAACTTCTTCCGCTGCTTAAAAGTGCCGTCTGCGTAATAACATAAATTTCTGTTCTGTTCCATCGGTCTTTCTGGCCCTTCCCCCACTACCTTAATTTATTTTAGGAAATACACCATAATATATTTAGCCAACCCTCCCTTCAGCTCCCGAGTGTATGTCCTCCACCAAATCCTTTTCACAACAAATTGTTAACAATTTTGCCTTTTTTTTTTTTTTCGCCTCCCTGATGTAGCTCGGAACCAAGCTGGAGAACTTTGTTCTCAAGTCTCCACGGGGATGGCAGGTCTCCCCAGAGAAGCTGTGCAGGTCCAGTAAGCTCAGGCAAGGGTTCTCAACCCTGGTTGTGCATTAGAATCCCCGAGGGGCCTTTTACACATAGCCAAACGGGGTCCCCACCCCTACAGACTCCGATTTCATTGCTTAGGGGTGCAGTCCAGACCCCAGGGGCCCTCCAGAGGATTCCCAGGTGCTGCCACGACTCAGAACCACACAGCTGAAGAGAAGACGCGCTGTGCTCCCCTGCCCCGACCAGGTACCCCTGCTTTCCAAAACGCTCACTCACCCACACGGTCTTGTTCTCCATGCTGATGGCCGGGATGCTGGTTCGGAGGAACAGGGTAGCCCAGCTGCTTACCCTGACCCTGTCAAAGTCTCTGTAATCCTGGAAGCAGGAGGAGGGGGAGGGATGCATTAAAAGAAGCAGCTGAAGCCCCTCTGAGCCTCCCTCTTGACCCCAAGCACCCCCCGCCCCCGACCAGGGTACCCTCCCCCAACACAGCATCTTTAAGAGGCACCCAAGGGACCTGAGAGCCAGGCGTCTCCACACAAATGCACATCACCCA